TACGCAGTAGTACGCAGTAGTACGCAGTAGTACGCAGTAGTACGCAGTAGTACGCAGTAGTACGCAGTAGTACGCAGTAGTACGCAGTAGTACGCAGTAGTACGCAGTATTAGTACCTATAGTACCGAGTAGTAGTACGCAGGAGTACGCAGTAGTAATACGCAGTAGTAGTACGCAGTAGTACGTAGTAGTAGTACGCAGTAGTAGTACGCAGTAGTAGTACGCAGTAGTAGCACGCAGTAGTACGCAGTAGTAGTACGCAGTAGTACGCAGTAGTAGTACGCAGTAGTACGCAGTAGTACGCAGTAGTAGTACGCAGTAGTACGCAGTAGTAGTACGCAGTAGTACTACGCAGTAGTAGTACGCAGTAGTAGTACGCAGTAGTAGTACGCAGTAGTAGTACGCAGTAGTAGTACGCAGTAGTAGTACGCAGTAGTAGTACGCAGTAGTAGTACGCAGTAGTAGTACGCAGTAGTAGTACGCAGTAGTAGTACGCAGTAGTAGTACCTTGAGGACAGGTTCTACTTATCCTACTTATCCTAACTTATTTCTACTTATGCTACTTATGATCTACTTATATCTACTTATATTGTATTTAAAAATCAATATATAATATAAGTAGATACAAGTAGATATAACTAAGTTATAAGTAGAAATAAGTAGAAATAAGTAGAAATAAGTAGAAATAAGTAGAAATGGTTTAAAAACCTGAATTTTGCAATTTTTGTGTTTTTTTTGAAAAGTAAAGATTTTCACCGTTTTTGGTCTGTCTTGATTGCAAAACCGTATCTTTCACAGAAATAGATCATGTTAATTAATTGTTAATGTTTTTCATCTTTTTCAACTGCTGTTCGCGTGAGCGGGCACACCGCTTGAGCGGTCACACCGCTTGTTTCAGCTATATAGCTGTCAATTGAAGCGACAATGGAACATAGTCAACCTCATTTCTGCCAATGTGCCGTGCATCTTTTTCTCCGCATATGGATTTGGCACGTTAAGAAATCTTTGTGGAGATTTCATCGCAAAATGTGAGAACACCAGGCAACCAGTCAGCCTTAAGAATATCCTGGAGAACCGTCATCATCTCCTTCGTCACAGTGAGCTCCCGCTTGAAGGCAGCCATGTGGTAGACATTCAAGTCCCTGATGCTTTCCAAGGAAGAGACCTGCTTGGATAAGCCCATGCTTGTCACATCTATGCCTTCGCTACTATAGCCCTGCAACTTGACTTGCGACATGGTGATGCACACCCAAAGATTGGCCATGCAGGCCGTGGCTGCAGTAAATCCGATCTGAGTACATATAGTTCTGCAGCATTCTCTGCAAGCTTCTAAGCGTTCCTTTTCATCAGCGGACCAGCTAGTAGCTGCTTCTGCAAGTTGGTCTGCCAAAAGCGTCAGATTCGCATGGGTTTCCATCTGGTTAGATCGATATCCTACATGCGTTTATGTGAGCTGCGTTGCCAAATCCTTGCGGTGAGTGCTGGACATGAACATCTCGGGTTACATATATAGCGGTCATACCGCTGAATCATCATTGTCAAAAACGGCAAGTTTGCAAAAAGCGGGCACACCGCTCAAAACACAGTCTATAGACACAAATGCTTGTATTTGGTTGAAGCGGACACACCGCTCAAGAAGGAGAAGCAACACAGGTATGCACAGGAAATACATTTATCGACAAAGCGAAGCAAATATCTGGTTTCTTTTCAGCGGAGACATGTGACGGCCTGTCCGTCTTCAGAGATCCTGTACCACGTTGGGATGGTAGGAGGTGCTTCTGGAGACACGTGCATGATGACGCGATCCGACGAGATTCGCCAAGTAGTGCCCCATGTCTTCTCATCAACCTTCAGTGCCAAAGGTGCTATATATGTTGACATTGGATTGGGAATAAAAAAATGTGTATATGGGTGTGCGTCTGTGGGATTTTTTTGGATAATGCCTACTTGCCGCTTCCCTTGGGGGGGCATTGGGCGCCAAAAAAGTGCACACCATTCAACAAATGCTTATAAATGGCTTTATCAATGTTTGAACACTCACACACACACACGTGTGTATATGAAGATCTAGGTCTACAGACCGTTCTACATACCAAAATGATATATATATATATAATTGATTTGTTTATATTTATTTATCTTCATTCTGATATTCATATTTATATTTTGATATTTACATATGAAAATGTAAATAGGTGAATGTAGAGAAGTTATGCTCGCATAACAGAATCGGAGATATTTCAAAAAAATGACATATATATATATATACACACTTTTGATTATGTATACACCTTCCACCAGTAAATAATGTTGAGACGCGAAATCCAGCTTTTGGCAGCGTACATAGATTCCGATCCTCTCTGTCCAAAACCAATCGCAAATGATTCCACCGCAATATTGCCACAAAATGATGTCTCCTTCGGTCAGCTGGCAGCCAACCAAGTGGCAACCTGACTTGGGTTCTGGTTAGTATATAATGCATTTGGCGCCGGCAAGATAATATACCCAACATGATGTGAAACTTGAAAAAGAATTCTTTCAATCACGAGAGCTGCTGAAGACATCGAACCTTACATGCAACCAAAAACAAACATCTCAGTCAAGTTGCTCTTGCTTGTCTTCAATTCCATTCTCGCAAAATAGATTTTGTCGTCGAAGGGGGCTTCCTTGATTGGTGGCAGCAACTCCCAGAAAGGCATGCCATTGGCTTGCAGCTGAGTCAAGCACGTTTGCAACAGCCGCGCAAGAACACCGCTTGAAAAGGCTTTGAATTCTCGGACCGTTGAGCACATGTGAGAACCGATGCCACTCTTGTAAACTCTGTGTTTGTCCTCCAATGCTTCGCAGCTCACAGGAACTTTGCATTGGAACCACTGGGAAGGTATGTGAAACCTATGGTGGTGCTTTGGCTTGTACTCGACCTCGTAGACCTTGTAATACTCTTGGTGCATGCGTTGCAGCTTGTCGAGGTGTTGCATGTCACGTGACTCTACTTTATGCACACCATGCAGAATGTCGCGGACAAAGCTGACAATCAAGCAAACTGCGCGGAAGGACCGAATGTATCCAAGTGGCATTTGATTGCTTGGTTCGATGATGGTCTCAACATAATATCGCAGGATGGGGAGCAGGGCCGCAGTTTGATGGCCTTGGCCCTTGTACACATCTTCCCCGAACATTCGTCGGTTGAAAAGATTCCGAAGATATCCTTCGGTTTTTCCACTTGATTTTGTTCCTTTCCATCCAGCTTGCAGCGCTACTCTTTGCAGCGTTTCCAAGGTGACCCTTGTCCTCGTTTCCAATTCGGAAATGAATAATACAATTTCCCAAGATGCAACTCCGTTCGCCAGATATGTATGAAGAAAATCATGGATGATCCTGCTTGGGGGCATTTTTGCCCTTTCTTCCTCAGAAAACAGCAACGCAGCAGCATCGTAACTGATGCCAGATGTCTTTTCCATCCTGTCAAGTTCAGCCTTGGTTCGGCAGGTCTTCATACAATCGCACACCTCAAAGACTTCATTGTCGGAGCTCAGCTTGAATCCGCTTGATGCTGAAAGCTCAACAAAATAGCTGTCGTGCTCCACCAAGCCAGAGCGTGCCTTTAAAAGGTTTCGACAAAGGATACAGGGTCGAAGCCCTGCGGATCCCTTGGTCGAAAAAACCGCTCTGATTGCTTCATAATCGGCCAAAAAGTATGCCTTGCAACTCTGTTTGAATTGTATTCCGCATTCCAAGGTGACACCGTTTTCAAACTTCTTGGACACCAGCCGCTTGAGTATTTCAAGCATGACAGCCGAAGTTCCGCCCACCAAAGATTGTAAACAGCTGCTTTGCACGCTGGCAATCGGCAGCCACATGAGTGGATTTTTGAGGTACGTCCATGCCTCCATCCAGGACATGTAAAACAAGCAACTCTTTTTGAGTTTGTCAACACTCAATATGTTGCCTGCAGTGGCCTCGTCACAAAAGAGTAGGGGCGTTAACCGACCATTTGTTTCCAGGGCCTGCGTCAGAACATGTCGAAAGGCGTCAGACTTTGAGCAGAAAATGTCTAGACAAATTTTCAAATCCACAATGGGCAAAGTCTGTTCAGACCCGTCTTCAGTTTTGAAAGCGACATCTGTCATGGCAGCTCTCCATTGAGACAAATTTTCATCCTGAGCGCGGAGCAGAGATCCCCTGCTGATCTGCTTCTCCTCTGGCTGAATGATATTCCAAATCTCACCCACAGCACGTTCACTAGCTCCTCGCACATTCAAAGTGCGCTTCAACTTCTCATCATCTTTTTCGCCAAGCGCGCGCTTTGGCATGGCTGCAGCGGTCGGCAGCCATGGCCACAACGTCTATATAGAAGTCCAGCTACAGAAAAGACCCCGGATGAGGTCATACTTTGACGTATTCCATTTTGAAGCGTCACCATAGATATGTGTATTCCAAGACGATATGTACTCTCTCTCTCTATATATATATATATAATATATATATTTTTTTTATAGAGTTATACATATATATATACATACATATAAACTAGCTGTCTGAAAGCCACAGCTTCTGGTTCCATGAGCCTGACACAGCAGAAACAGCGCTAACATGGCTAACAAAACTGCATACATCATCAAGCGGACACACCGCTGTCAAATTTGTTTACAATTAATTAATTGAGCGGGCACACCGCTGAGTAAAGCTGCACCCCAACCCCAACTCAAATAACGTTTGAGCGGGCACACCGCTGAATAATTTGCATCCACCTTTGTTTACAAGAAATTGAGCGGGCACACCGCTGATTTATAAATCATATATATGTACAAAATTCCAACCTTGTCTCAAGGAAAACTGAGCGGTCACACAGCTGCTACAAATATTTTTCAGCTGCTTTGTCACGTCTTTCTGGGCCAACATGGAGCAGCACAATCTGCAGGCTCCACCTTTACTTTACCTAAATGAGCAGTAACGGCTCACGACAAAATCCGCCAAGACAGTGTCCATGTCCATGCCCTTCACTTCTCAGCGGCCGATTTGGCCTTGGCCTTGGCCTTTCTCTTCGCTTCAGTTTCCTTTGGTGGCATTGCTGCTTTCTTTGCAGCAGTTCGTTCCGAAAAAATTTTGCGCACATCCTTGAGCAAATCCTGTGCTGCTTTGATCTTTTGGGGCAGCACTTGGTCCTGCCCAAATCGGAACGTGTTGTTGCTCTGACCTCTACTTGACACCCGTACCTATTTTGTCCAGAAAAGCAGACGCTTTGCAACTGAGAAAATTGAAACACAAAATGATTCGGCCTTGTCGAACTCAAAGGGCTTGTTGGCTTCCTTTTCATCGGAAGTGGCACCAATCAAGGCAGTAGCACCTCATGGGCCCAGGAAACATATTATATATATGCGCATCCAGCAAAACATGCTCTTTAGCGGTCACACCGCTGTGTCAAGAACACCCAAAAGCATGGATGACCAAAGACTTGTATAGCTTAAAGTCAAAAGGTGATTTGGTCAAGCAACTGCACTTGAAAACGCTCAGGACTTGCAAAGCTTCCTCCAAGCCAGTGATAGTGTCATCACCGAAGCCATCCTGGTTCTTGCACTTGGCCGCCGTCGCTGTCAAAGAGTTGCACAAGGAATTCAAGGCGGCGATGTGCCTGGCCGCCTTGGCAACTTCACGCTTCCATGAGTTCTCCTTGTCCTTGGCATCTTTGGCTGCCTTGCGTGCAACCGACGTGGCATCATCACCTTTCGATACTTTGGCCGCCTTGGACTCCGTGGTCTGGGGAGCCTCGTCAGAGCTAGGAATGGACCAGCAGTCCTCATCGATCTGCAGCTGCTCATGTCCGGCTTGCTCGCTCAGTGCTCCAGCCTTTGCTTTCGCCTTTGTCTTCACTTGTTTCTTCTCCTTTAAAGTATATTCTTTGGTGGCGACCTCCTTCTCCATGGAACCCCGTATGTCCTCGTGCTTGACTGTCAGCAAGGGTGCAGCCCACACTTCACCGAAGACCTCATGCTGATTGGAAACATTGATGCAGACATAGAGTTAATCTCCTTTCCAAGGTTTGTACATTCATCACGGGTATATTCTATATATGTTCTAGATTCTAGATGTTGAAATAGTTTACATGGAATATATTTTACAGATTTCAATTTTTTTTATAAAAATGTTTGAGATTAGTTATACATTCTGTGAATATAAATAAAAGATATAAATTGTTTTATTTTAGTATATAGGTTATGTTTACCTTCCATTTGACAGAAGATTCGAAATAAACAGTGCTACATGTCAAATATATGTTGGCAAGGAACCTCACAGTCTCGTCTCTCTCCCTTGGCCATAATTTTGTCAGTATCGAAGCCCTGGGTCTGCCATACGCCCAAGGGGAGAAACTTCTGTTCCACGGTCCTCGTCACTTGTTCGACTTTGAAGCGAGTCATCTCTGTGATGAGGTTTGCCCTGAGCACAGACCAACGGCCGTTCTTGGGAGCACTGCGCAGGACTTGGTTGGAAGTTCGAAAGAATTTCTGCTGATCATCTGGACTCATGGTCTGCAGGGTGCTCGGGTATCCACCAAGGTGACGGTACAGCATCTGGTATACGTTTTGGCAGGCAGAACAGGTAATGCCTGCGCCCTTAAATTTTCCATCATCCTCGGACACAGGCATGCCACATTTCAGACAGAGCGAAGGCTCAGGTTCTGTCTGTGTGACCATTGCATCTTGAGTCTCTTCAGAATCCGCCATCTTGATGTGAGCAAAAAAAATCTGCAACACACGCCAAATCAACTTGGGGTGACAGAAAAACAGATGACAACACGGGAAAAAATGTATGGATTTCGGGTAGATGGCCACGAGATAGCCGGTAGATAGTCGGGAGATAGCCGGGAGATAGCCGGGAGATAGCCGGAGATAGCCGGAGATAGCCGGAGATAGCCGGAGATAGCCGGAGATAGCCAGGACCAGGAAATTTGGTTTTTCAACGACGATAGCCGGAGATAGCCGGAGATAGCCGGAGATAGCCGGGACCAGAAAATGCTGGATTTCAACGACGATAGCCGGAGATAGCCGAGAGATAGCCGGGAGATAGCCGTGAGATAGCCGGGTTCTGGACTCATTCAGCACCACAAAAAAAACTCAGCGGACACACCGCTCAAAACAAACAATTCAGCGGACACACCGCTCAGGCAACACATCACATCGTTTGACAATTTAGCGGACACACCGCTCACGAAACAAAAACATGGCCCCAAAGAAAAAACGTGGCTCAGCTTCTTATTTTTTTCCTTTCCAGGATTTCACCGCAAGCATCTCGGGTCCTTTCAGCGCTTTGGCGCAGCGGCCGGCTTCTTCATTGGTGCCTTGCGCACCGCTGGTCGCTTCTTTGGCTGGCCTCTCTGTTTCGGCTTCGGCTGCGGCGGCACCACGTGCGGTAAGCTTTTCGGGATGTAACCATCAGTGCGCAACCTCAGCTGTTTGCTGGTTGGGTCGTGTTTTTTCTCTGTCGCGCATTTCTGTCACGATCACACCGCCACAAAATAAATAAAACTGTTGTTTTGGTTTGTGGTTTTCAGCGGTGACACCGCTTCATGCCATGATGGTTTAGGGTTTGTGGTTTCAGCGGTGACACCGCTTCATGCCATGATGGTTTAGGGTTTGTGGTTTTCAGCGGTGACACCGCTTCATGCCATGGAGGTTTGGGGTTTGATGGTTTTCAGCGGTGACACCGCTTCATGCCATGGACGTTTGGGGTTTGATGGTTTTCAGCGGTGACACCGCTTCATGCCATGGAGGTTTGGGGTTTGATGGTTTTCAGCGGTGACACCGCTTCATGCCATGATGGTTTGGGGTTTGATAGTTTTCAGCGGTGACACCGCTTCATGCCATGATGGTTTGGGGTTTGATGGTTTTCAGCGGTGACACCGCTACAAAATAAAATGATGGTTTAGTGTTTGATGGTTTTCAGCGGTGACACCGCTACACAATTAAAAAAATAAATGTTGGTTTGCTTTTGTGATTTTCAGTGCTGGCACCGCTTGATGAAATGACAGTTTCATTTTTTGAGTGAAAATATGCCGATATTTATCTATGCCGATTTCGATTTGGTCTATTTTTGTCGATGGCGGACATACTGCTGTTTGGATTATGCCATTTTTCTAGATATAAAACAAAACATCAATCAGATGCCAAGGCGCTGCTCCGCAAGCTGCCGATCAGCTTCTGCTCCTTCCAACTCAGCCAAGCGAACCTGTTCCATGTTTTCAAAGATCTCCCGCAGCTGCAATTTTTTGCACACTGTGCCAAGTGGACGACCTTTCACCATAGCTTTCACCTGCACTGATCCCAGCTGCAACTCCGCATTCTCCGAAACATCGCAGTGACAGATGAATGCATCAAAGACCTGCGAGCAGGTCTTTGAATTAGTTTAACAAAGGCTGCAAATCTCAATAGGCATGGCTTCACTTTTTGCAAGCGGAGACACCGCTCAAGGCATGACATGGCCTAGACTTAATTGTTTTCCAGCGGAAACACCGCTCAAGGCATGACATATCCTATATAGGCTAAACTTTAGCCACTTCCCACCGGAGTCACCGCTGAAGGCATGACATAGCCTCCCAAAACGTAGATCGAGGACCCCATCGTCCTGGCACAGAAGTAATGACTTCACCCGTCAGCGGCTGCACCACACTCACATTCTTTGGCTCGCTCCTCTGCCACTGGAACTCAAAAATCTTCAGCCCACCACGGCCACCATAGTTGGCAGTAGGTTTCACCATCATAGCGTGACCATCAGTGGCCAAGTACCTGTAGAATTTTCATTTCAAAAAGGAAACATACGCTACTTATTGCAATAAACCATGCAATTATGTGCTATATATTATTTATGTTTATTTATCCATCACACAAAAATGACAGATAGATGTTAGGTCTATACATACACCCCAAAAAACCAAGGTTCTTATTACCTTTATCTGGCTACAAAAGCACATGCATCCAAAACACAAGGACCAACCAGGCATCATGTCGACATTCTCGTGTTGAATGTAGCTGTACAAGTGGCTGACATAACCGTTGCCCATGTACATCACATTGTCCATGCAACGATGGCGCATCTCCTGCCCTCTGGGCAAGTCTGTCCACAGCTGGTTTTCGCCCCATCTCTTCCATTCATCTGGGGATCGCATTCCTTCCATGGTTGACCATGCGATGCTGGTGTATTCAAAGCGAGCATGGGACTGGGACGACATGATTTGAAAACTTGTAACTACGATACTTGCATTCAGCCAAGATGCTGACATGCTGCATAGTACATATTTAGCAACAAAAAACCCAGCGGACACACCGCTTAAACACTTCCTGGACAACAAATAGCGGTCACACCGCTGAAAAAAAAAACGCCTCTACAACAAAAAGCGCCCACACCGCTGCAAACATACATTTTACAACTTACATGCTGTTCATCAGCGGACACACCGCTCAAAAGATAAGCAGCTCCAAACATTTTTTCCTCCCAAACCAGGTGCCACGTTGCTATGTTCGCAACTTTCATCGGGAGATATATATATATAGATAGATAGATATAGCGGTCAGACATTGCATCGACACGACAGCTCGTGTCTCGCAAACAAAAACTCTCAAACCGCAGATCCCTCAGCTGTCACCAAACTGAGCTTTCACAGCGCGGTTACCAGCCTGACGAGCTTTGCTGATCTTCTGCTCCTGTGTCAGGATCTTCACATGCTGCAACCTGCCTCAGGTATAGATGGGCAAATTCTTCAAGAACTCCAGGTGTGAAAACGAAATTTCTTAAAAATGAAACCAACAGGGTTGTAAAACAAAAACGCTTCTGACAACAATACTTGAAGCCCAAGCGCTGGATTCCGCATGGTATGCCCTGGAGTACACACACTCCCTTGTCATTTTAAGCTTGCGGGGCGCTGCCTTCCCCTTGGGTGCCACCTTGGCTTTGGGACAGGCTTTCGCCTTGGGCATCTTTTTTTCCTTGGGACTTGGTTTCGCCTTCACCGGAGGTGCTCGCTTGACGTGGGACTTCATCACCTTTGGCTTTTTCACCACCTTCATTGCTTTCAGCTTCGGCTTTGCCTGCAGCGCTGCTGCAGCAGCTGGTCTTTTCATGGCGGCCTTGGCCAGTTTACGTTTCTGCATGGCATCCTGGAGCTTGCTCATCCCATTCTGCAATGAGACTTCTTCAGGCGTCTTCTTGTGCAAGGCGTCCTCTTCATCCTCCTGCTCAGCAGTCTCCGGCAAATCTCCTTCGGGGAAATCCTCATGTTCCATCTCAAGAGCTTCCATCAGGTCATCCGCATGGGTATCAGCCACCTCCGCTTCCACAGCTGTGGCAGCAGGGGCCGTGATGTTTCCAGCATCCTGCACAGGCAGGGAAAAATCAAATAGCCAAAACAGAAAAACAGAATATATTATATATACATATTATATAGGATTCACACAAGCAGCGGGGACACCGCTTTCTCAGATGAAAATCAAGAGGATATACCTCAATCCAAGTTCGAGCGGAAACACCGCTCAAGAAGAAGAATTGCAATTAGACGGCATTCACAGTTCTGAAGTCCTGGTCTCCTGGCTGCCTTGGAGCGTCTTCCAGTGCAAGCAACGGAAATTTAGGTCTTGGATGTGGCGCTGGCAAAGGTGCCAACGAAGCAGAAGCGGTCGACTGTGATCCCGCCCTTTCGCCCATACGAAATGCCATCTCCATCAACTGTACCTCAGTGGCTTTCTCCGGCTGCTTGCTGGAAGCTGCCTCGGCTTTCTCCGGTACAGGATCACGCCAACGAAGACGCGTGCAGCCAACAGACATCAAAAAGTTGTTCATATCCAAACCTCATGTGGCACCACACGACCAAAATGTATTACAAAACCAAATCCACCATGTGAAAGCACCAATTAAACGAAACAGCGGTTACACCGCTAAACGGTTGAAAGACCAACATGAAACCAACCCAGAAGCGACTTGGCACTGGCAGGTCATGAGCAAAGGATTGAAGATACCATTCGGCTGGAAGGTCCCTTGGGTCTTGCGGCAGCGCCAAGAGGTACTCTCCGTATTGGTGATCATCAGCCTTTCGGACCGCTTTGTACTTTTTCCAGGCTTTCTTGAGCTGAGACAGAGCCTCATAGCGTTCGAAAGCACCGCGGCTTCTGCCGGTGTCTCGGCCTGTGGCCTCTAGTATGTTGTATACGGTGGAGAAAGTGCCCTCGCTGGGGCATCTCAATCCAAGACTCCAACAGTGCTCCAGGAGAAGGTTGCAGTTCTGCTCTTTGCTGCCTGCACTCAACGCATCCCAAATCTCATTGGTCAGATAATGGGGCAGGGCACCAAAATTTTGCGCTTTACGCCTATCTGCCATGCTCTGAAATCCGCGGCTGCCGTGCAACCAAACTTTTGTGAAAGCCGTAACAGGAATATCAGTATAATATAATTTACTTGAAACGCCTCAGTAAAAGCGGACACACCGCTTCATGCAAGAATACCGCTCAAAACACCATTAGACAACCGTAGCGGACACACCGCTTTAAAGAAGCACAAACCTATATAACAAAAAATTGAGCGATGACACCGCTTCATGCAAGCCAAAAACATTGCCAAACAAAGGGAGACATTACAACAATGAAGTTTGCAACCAAAAACCAATTAAAAAAACTGACAATGTTTGATAAGCGACAGGCCCAACCCAACAGTCACACGCCTTTTTTTCATCTTCTATATATGGCTAGTACGAGGACCGCGGCTTCGGACGAAATTCTTGTTGTCTTTGTCCGCCACGCTTCCTCCAGACCCCAAACAGCCGCCACTGTCTCTCACGCGAACTCTCACCAGCATGGTCCTGGAATCGACCTGTTCCTGCATCCGAGCTGTGTTCTCTCGGTTCCGGGGGCGGTGCAGCCCCTTTACATCTAACACCAGCAGATTTAGGCATGCTGGGCATCGGCAATGGCGGATTCTCTGCTGCATGCACCGCATCCTCGACGTAGCGGCCCCTAGTAGCCAGCATCGAAAGCAAACTGCCAGGCTCAGGAACTTCATAACCAGACGCCGCAACTCCTGCACCAGGCATCGAAGCACCAGCCATTGATGGCGATGGACAGGGAATTGGCATTGGTTTGGCCGCCACTGCACTTGGACGACTTCCAGCCGAAGCACCGGCAGGGACATACATGGGGCTCTCCCTGGGCCTCGGCATGGAAACTATAGGCACTGACCTTGTCTCCGCTTCAGCCCTCCGCTGAACTGGTCCTAACCAAACAAATGCAAAAAAAAACATCAGCGGCAACTGCACACCGCTCGACGCATGGTTTCATGCTATTCTATATGTATATACTCACCAAAATATAATATTACATCATTTTTTACGGATCCTATATATAAAAAGATGTTTTGCCTACAACTCATATATACACACATATTAATATATATAAATATATATATATATAGATTGCTCATTATGTTTCTAAAATTAAGACTTATACAATATATATATATATATATATTCTCATGCACGCATATCTAAACATAACTGGCATACATTTACATATAATAAATGCATGTCCACACAACTGAAAAACAAACTCGCCCCACATCTCTCCTGCTGGCTTCGCAGTTGCGCCACATGCGCTGGCACCTGTCTTCGCCTTCGGCGGTGGACATGCCGCAGCTGCTTTCGCAGGCGCCTTTGGCAATGACCTCTTCGGTGGGCATGCCGCAGCAGCTTTCGCAGGTGCCTTTGGCAATCTTCTCTTTGGTCTTGGCAACATCGGGTTCTCTGGCACTGCAGGGGTCTCTGGCATCACAGGGTTCTCTACGCACGCTTCTGGAGGTGGCTGAGGCGTCAAGCAGTCATCCATGGCTGTATACCACAGAGGAAAAACAATTGTAGTCCTTTATTGGCATCCATCCTTTCTATATGGCACGTTTAAATCCACATCTCCTTCATTTCTTGACACTGTCATGCTCTTCACTTGTGCTCCGTCCTATATTACATTAAGCAGCCAAAGCCTTTGCAGAGGAAAACTCTTCAGAAAACAATTCAAAATCTCCACGGTAGCAAAAACAAGCGGACACACCGCTGCCAACCCGTAGCGGACACACCGCTTATCAACGTTTTTTATCTTTTTTGCAGCATGCAGACAAAAATCAAAGAAAATCTAGCTTTTACCGCAAAATGCGCAAAATCTACAAAAAACAAGGAAAAAAACACGATCCAAAAAAAAAATCAAAAATAAAGAAAAATCGATAAGTAGAAATAAGTAGAAATAAGTAGATATAAGTAGAAATAAGTTACTTAACCTACTTATCACACACAACATAAAAACTACTTATTTCTACTTACATTTTTTCGTAAGTAGGTTAAGTTACTTATAAGTTAAAACAAGTAGACCTAAGTAGATGGTTTTGAAAAATCTACTTATCCTACTTACGTCAACTTATTTCCTACTTATCCTACTTAAAACCAACTTAAAACCTACTTTAAGTAGAAAATAAGTAGGATAAGTAGAACCGGTCCTCAAGGTACGCAGTAGTAGTACGCAGTGGTACGCAGTAGTACTACGCAGTAGTATACGCAGTAGTACTACACAGCGCAGTAGTACTACGCAGTAGTACGCAGTAGTACTACGCAGTAGTACGCAGTAGTACTACGCAGTAGTACGCAGTAGTATTACGCAGTAGTACGCACTAGTATTACGCAGTAGTACGCACTAGTACTACGCAGTACTACGCAGCAGTACTACGCAGTAGCACTACGCAGTACTACTACGCAGTAGTACTACGCAGTAGTACTACGCAGTAGTACTACGCAGTAGTAGTACGCAGTAGTAGTATACGCAGTACTACTACGCAGTACTACTACGCAGTAGTACTACGCAGTAGTACTACGCAGTAGTACGCAGTAGTAGTACGCAGTAGTAGTACGCAGTAGTAGTACGCAGTAGTAGTACGCAGTAGTACGCACTAGTACGCAGTAGTACGCAGTATAGTACGCAGTAGTACGCAGTAGTAGTACGCAGTAGTACGCAGTAGTAGTACGCAGTAGTAGTATACGCAGTAGTAGTACGCAGTAGTAGTACGCAGTAGTAGTACGCAGTAGTAGTACGCAGTAGTAGTACGCAGTAGTAGTACGCAGTAGTAGGACGCAGTAGTAGGACGCAGTAGTAGGACGCAGTAGTAGGACGCAGTAGTACTACGCAGTAGTACTACGCAGTAGTACTACGCAGTAGTACTACGCAGTAGTACGCAGTAGTACTACGCAGTACTACGCAGCAGTACTACGCAGTAGCACTACGCAGTACTACTACGCAGTAGCACTACGCAGTACTACTACGCAGTACTACTACGCAGTAGTACTACGCAGTAGTACTACGCAGTAGTAGTACGCAGTAGTAGTATACGCAGTACTACTACGCAGTAGTATACGCAGTAGTACTACGCAGTAGTACTACGCAGTAGTAGTACGCAGTAGTAGTACGCAGTAGTAGTACGCAGTAGTAGTACGCAGTAGTACGCAGTAGTACGCAGTACAGTACGCAGTAGTACTACGCAGTAGTACGCAGTAGTACTACGCAGTAGTATTACGCAGTAGTATTACGCAGTAGTACGCAGTAGTACGCAGTAGTACTACGCAGTACTACGCATTAGTACTACGCATTAGTACTACGCATTAGTACTACGCAGTAGTAGTACGCAGTAGTAGTACGCAGTAGTAGTACGCAGTAGTAGTATACGCAGTAGCAGTAGTATACGCAGTAGTACTACGCAGTAGTAGTACGCAGTAGTAGTACGCAGTAGTAGTACGCAGTAGTAGTACGCAGTAGTAGTACGCAGTAGTAGTACGCAGTAGTAGCACGCAGTAGTACGCAGTAGTACGCAGTAGTACTACGCAGTAGTACTACGCAGTAGTACTACGCAGTAGTACGCAGACGCAGCAGTAGTAGTACGCAGAAGTATACGCAGTAGTACTACGCAGTAGTACTACGCAGTAGTACTACGCAGTAGTAGTACGCAGTAGTAGTACGCAGTAGTAGTACGCAGTAGTAGTACACAGTAGTACTACGCAGTAGTAGTACGCAGTAGTAGTACGCAGTAGTAGTACGCAGTAGTAGTACGCAGTAGTAGTACGCAGTAGTAGTACGCAGTAGTAGTACGCAGTACGGAGTAGTACGCAGTAGTAGTACGCAGTACGGAGTAGTACGCAGTACGGAGTAGTACGGAGTAGTACGGAGTAGTACGGAGTAGTACGGAGTAGTACGGAGTAGTACGGAGTAGTACGGAGTATAGTACGGAGTAGTACGGAGTATAGTACGGAGTAGTACGGAGTATAGTACGGAGTAGTACGGAGTATAGTACGGAGTAGTACGGAGTATAGTACGGAGTAGTACGGAGTAGTACGGAGTAGTACGGAGTAGCACGGAGTAGCACGGAGTAGCACGGAGTAGTACGGAGTAGTACGGAGTAGTACGGAGTAGTACGGAGTAGTACGGAGTAGTACGGAGTAGTACGGAGTAGTACGGAGTAGTACGGAGTAGTATACGGAGTAGTATACGGAGTAGTATACGGAGTAGTATACGGAGTAGTACGGAGTAGTACGGAGTAGTACGGAGTAGTACGGAGTAGTACGGAGTAGTACGGAGTAGTACGGAGTAGTACGGAGTAGTACGGAGTAGTACGGAGTAGTACGGAGTAGTACGGAGTAGTACGGAGTAGTACGGAGTAGTACGGAGTAGCACGGAGTAGCACGGAGTAGCACGGAGTAGCACGGAGTAGTACGGAGTAGTACGGAGTAGTACGGAGTAGTACGGAGTAGTACGGAGTAGTACGGAGTAGTACGGAGTAGTACGGAGTAGTACGGAGTAGTACGGAGTAGTACGGAGTAGTACGGAGTAGTACGGAGTAGTACGGAGTAGTACGGAGTAGTACGGAGTACAGAGTACGCAGTACGCAGTACGCAGTAAGCAGTAAGCAGTAAGCAGTAAGCACTAAGCACTAAGCACTAAGCACTAAGCACTAAGCAGTAAGCAGTAAGCAGTAAGCAGTAAGCACTAAGCACTAAGCACTAAGCACTAAGCACTAAGCAGTAAGCAGTAAGCAGTAAGCAGTAAGCAGTAAGCAGTAAGCAGTAAGCAGTAAGCAGTAAGCACGTAGTACGTAGTACGTAGTACGTAGTACGTCGTACGTCGTACGTCGTACGTAGTACGTAGTACGTCGTACGTCGTACGTAGTAAGTAGGTAGTGGTAGTAGTAGTAGTAGTAGTAGTGGTGGTAGTAGTGGTAGTAGTAGTAGTAGTAGCAGTAGTAGTAGTAGTAGGAGTAGTAGGAGTAGTAGTAGTAGCAGCAGTAGTAGCAGTAGTAGTAGATTAGTAGTAGTAGTAGTAGTAGTAGTGGTAGTGGTAGTGGTAGTGGTAGTGGTAGTGGTAGTGGTAGTGGTAGTAGTAGTAGTAGTAGCAGTAGTAGTAGTAGTAGAAGTAGAGAAGTAGAAGTAGAAGTAGAAGTAGTAGTAGTAGTAGCAGTAGTAGTAGTAGGGGAAGCCGGCGGTAGGACGGCGCAAAAATGCACTGCATTGCTTGGTCATGAAACAAAAACTACCGCGCTTATATGGAATTACTGTTTGGGATCTACGGCCGCTGCTTTCTTGCTGTTGGGGATATTCTTTGGGCTTATTTTTACCAAGGGGGAAGTTTCGCACCCTCATACTAAATACCAACTAAATACAAAAAACTATTCCGTGTGTTCATTATTGGGTGGGGAGGGGCAGACGGTTTATTATGACGCAGGGATTGGTCAGGCATCACTTGCTGGAATTATTGGATTCTTTTGGGATGATTGGTATGATGTTTAGTCAGGCATGGTTCCCTTCAGTCATGCACGATTTTTGCAAAAATCCTATTTAGGCACAACCCCAAAATCCCAGCCCGGCAAATTCCGGCCCGGGCCCGGCAAATTCCGGCCCGCGCCCTGCAAAATTCCGGCCCTGCGTTTTTCCAAAATCAGGCAAAACCAGTAAATCAGGTATTAAGTCAGGTGTAGTTACCTTTTAAGTCATTAAGGCTAGTCAGGCATGGTTCCAGTGGGTACCTTTTAATTGTGAAGGCTAGTCAGGCATGGTTCCCTGAATTCAGGGGCATGGGTACCTTTTAATTATGAAGGCTAGTCAGGCATGGGTTCTGTTAAGTCAGGCGTGGGTGGGTACCTCTTAATTATGAAGGCTAGTCAGGCATGGTTCCCTTAAGTCGGGTGTGGTTACGCTTTAAGTCATGAAGGCTAGTCAGGCATGGGTACCTTTTAAGTGATGAAATCTGAATCAGGCGGAGCTCCTATTCTAAATGTGTTAAATCCAATTGTTCAGTGTGGAAAATCGATTTTTTGGCTGGTCTACGGGCAAACCCTGTGTCTTCCAATACCATAGCGTGCTGATGTCGCTTGCCTGCATAATAGTTAAGGCCAAAGCTTAGGTCATCAGTGTGATCCTGAAATGGCGCCACGACCAAGAAGATGACATGTGTAAAATGGGCCCTGGATTAACAAAGGCTGACTAATGAATTTGGAGGATGCCACTAAAGTATGACATGTAGTCACTTTTGAGGAGCACTCTATGGCACGCAGCGCGCGCAGCCTGCTTTACGGTTTAGCGTTTGAAAGTTTTAGGCTTTGCCTCTATGGCACGCAGCGTTTGAAAGTTTAACCGTTTACCTCTATGGCAGGCTGTGCGCGCAGTACGCGTTACGGTTTAAAGTTTGAAAGTTTTAGGGTTTATGTGTGTGGCACGCAGTGCGCGCAGCGCGCATTAGGGTTTAGGGTTTGGAAGTTTTATAGTTTATTTTATTGCATGCAGCGTGCACAGCGTGGGTTGAACTTTAGGGTTTCGAAGTTTTAGGGTTAACCTCCATGACACGATGGTTTAGGGTTTGGAGATTTTAAGGGGTACTTCTATGGCACACAGCGCGCGCAGCGCGCGTTAGGGTTTAGGGTTTAGGGTTTGGAAATTTTAGGGTTTACCTCTATGACACGAGAGTTTCAGGTTTGAAGATTTTAGGGTTTATTTCTATTGCACAAAGCGCGCGCAGCGCGCATTAGTGTTTAGGGTTTGAAGGTTTTAGGGTTTATCTCTGGCACGCAGCGCGCACAGCACGCATTAGGGTTTAGGGTTTGGAAGTTTTAGGGTTTATTTTATTGCATGCAGCGCGCACACCGCGGGTTAAACTTTAGGGTTTGGAAGTTGCATAACACGATGGTTTAGGGTTTGGAAATTTTAGGGTTTACTTCTCTGGGACACAGCGCGCGCACCGCGCATTAGGGTTTAGGGTTTGGAAGTTTTAGGGTTTACTTTATTGCATGCAGCGCGCGCAGCGCGCATAGAGTTTAGGGTTTGGAAGTTTTAGGGTTTCAAGGGTTCCAAGGTTCCAGGGTACCAGGGTCCCACGGTTTCAGGGTTCCAAGGTTTCCAGAGGGTTCCAAGGGTTCCAGGGTTTCAGGGTTCCAGGATCCCAGCAGGGTGCCAGGTGTGCAGGGTTGCAGGGTTCCAAGGTTCCAGGGTTCCAAGGTAGCAGGGTTCCAGAATCCTTGAGGGTTCCTGTGTGCCAAGGTTCCAAGGTTTCAGGGTTCCACGGTCGCAGGGTTCCAAGGTTCCAGGGTTTCAGGGTTCCAGGGTTCCGGGGTTCCAGGGTTCCAGGGTTCGGGGGTTCCAAGGTTTCCAGGGTTCCAGGGTTCCACGGTTTCAGGGTTCCAAGGTTTCCAGGGTTCCAAGGGTTCCAAGGGTTCCAAGGGTTCCAAGGGTTCCAGGGTTCCAGGGTTTCAGGGTTCCAGGATGCCAGAAGGGTGTAGGTGTGCAGGGTTGCAGGGTTCCAAGGTTCCAGGGTTCCAAGGTAGCAGGGTTCCAGAATCCTTGAGGGTTCCAGGGTGCCAAGGTTCCAAGGTTTCAGGGTTCCACGGTCGCAGGGTTCCAAGGTTCCAGGGTTTCAGGGTTCCAGGGTTCCGGGGTTCCAGGGTTCCAGGGTTCCAGGGTTCCGGGGTTCCAAGGTTTCAGGGTTCCAGGGGGTTCCGGGGTTCCCAGGGTTCCAGGGGGGTTCCAAGGGTTCCAGGGTTCCAGGGTTCCAGGGTTCCATTCCGGATTTTGAAGGCTGCAAGTCCCCGCGAGCCAGCCCCAGCCCTAGAGATTGAAACCCAACAGGCCCTGCTGTTGGGAATTTGGCGTGATATGGCGTGATTTGGAAGGATGGGTTTAGCAAGGTTTCATGATGGTTCCTGTCGAATTCTGTTCAATCTCGTTGCCTTTCTCACCCCAAGTCTCCAGCCTGCAAGGGATCAGATTCATCTAAGCTGCCATCCAAATCACCTGCGGCAGGCGTATGCTGACCCACCATAGCAACGGTGGGGCCCAAACAAAATCCACCGAAATGTTGCAGGTCAAACCATGGGTTCCAGCCCGAGGGCATAAGAAAAGCTTGGCCCAAACAGCTCTTCGTCAAGCCAAATGTGCTATGAAGATTCTTGGGTCTGAAGTAGTCAGTCCAATTGGGTGAGGTGACCTCTTGTGCTGGCACTGTGAAAAATCTGCCGCATCTGGCTCCCCCTGTTCAAGGGCCTTGCCTGAAAACTCGTCCCAATCAGCATGCATCTCAACTCTCCTGGCCATTGCGCAGTGTCCAATTCCGCGTCATCTTGAGGCAGAATGTCATCACAAATGAATCGCACTTGGAGGGAATCACAAACAGTATGGGATCACTGATACGCGGATCATATACAGTAGATCATATAGGGCCCAAGTCTGTTGTTTCTGTTGGGATTCCCAAGACTCCCCACCTGCATGGAAATCGCCCCAGCCGAGGCCCAACAAATGCCTGCAGCTGTGTGAGCTCCATGTCATGGTATAACAACCTGTAATTTATATGGGTTGAAAGTGTGGTTTGCTGAGGATATGTTTGAACATTGGGTGAATATGCGACTCAAAATATGGGCTGTGATGCGTTCACATTCACCATATATATATATTATATTATATTATATATATTACATATATATATATATTATATATTATATAATATAATATATCACTTGTATTGCAAAAAGCTCTCCCAGGAATGCTGCTAAGATCTGCTAAGGCACCTGAAGGCTGAGCCCCAGAGCGAGACTCAAGTGGCTCAAACGCCATGCCATGGCACACGGTCGGACACGGGCACCCATTTCAAATGAATGGCTTACAGTCAATGTGTTGGAGCCGCAGGTGGTTCTCAGGTCTGAAGTTCACACAATTCCCCAACTCGTTATGGAATAACTTGGATTGCAGGCACATTGCCTTGCTGCGCTCATGTACATTACATGAATATGCTTCGATATGCTCATCTTGATCTGCTTCAACTAGAAGCTGCATGTGCCTGTCAGCATTCAGCTGCCATATCAGAATCTGGTCATTGGTTGATGTATGCTGTTTGATAATCTCTGAGCCCACGTTGAGGCCAAGCTCTTCACTTCCAACCGATGGCTTCACTTCTGCACGTCACCATGGCAGGTCCCCACCTGCTGGGTGCCCTCGGTGGTGTCGAACTCCTCCTTGCTCTTCCGCGCATTGGGCAGACTGGAACCCACTGCAGCTGGCAGATGGGCCCGGAGGCAGCCGCCGTGCTGGCACAGCAAAACACGTCTCTGCCAACGATTTCCACACAGGAAATTGGAAACTATCAACATCATTCAACATCTATTTATTCGATAGATATATATATATATACACACAATATAACTATAGACATCTGTTAGATCACTGACGCGCCTCTGGAGTCCAGCCATGGTTCAAGTAGTACACCGCCGTCAGACGCCGCCGCCCAGCGCCTTTCTCCGCCGTGGGCAACGCGTCGCGATGGCGCGCATAGCGGGCACCGCCTCCAGGGTACCGCGCCAGCATGCAGCTGAGGCGACGGCTCCCGAAGCCGGCCTGAAGTCATGACACCGTGGACTCGATGATGATCGAACTATTCTGTAGATCTATATGTGTGTGTGTGTGCGTGCAATTTTGGGTGTATATATAATGTGTGTGCGTGCGCCTGTGCGCATGTTGACATTGATATAATCCTGTATTATATGGTTCCAATTCTGTGTGTATCTATATGTTGACATATCATTGCCACCAATATCAATGACACCCATCAAATTTGATGAATGCGCAATCCTGAAAACTGTCAACCGAGAAAGACCAAAGGTCTGCAGACAAGATGACTGCAGCGAATGAAGACACAATTGGAAGCAATTGGACCTCATCAAGTTCGCTGCGCAGCGCTGCAACCATGGCCAGTAGCACATCTAATTCCTTCGAAATCACAGGACTCGGCAACAGTTGCACCGCGGCAAACACAATGATGTCGCATTGCCAAAGCAACACGTGCCGCGGTGCTTTCTTTTCTTCTGTCGCATTCGAATGGTCTGTGCAGAAATAGTGATTGAAATGTAAGCCATGCACTTAAGATCATTTAAGGATCCGTGTCTTTTGCACTCACTTTCGCTGCTTCTTTCCAGGCTTTACCCTGGACTTCACAGTCTTCCCTTCCTTCTCCTTCTCCTGCTTCCTCTTCCACGCCACGGCAACTTGGAAGCAGCGCTCCAGCTCCGCCTCCGAGTGGTCCTTGGGTTTGACGTAAAAATTTCGATTGGCTCCCGCCACTTGGCACTGAGCATGCCACTGCTGTGACCTCTGCTCCCAATTCACCCCGCGGTAGGGCACCTTGGGGTGGAACACCGGCAGCTCCGACAGGGTGGCCACGGGCTTCACCCGGCGCTGCAGGCCGTCCTTCTCCCGGAGCTCCAAGGCCTTGGCCTCGGCCGCCGCCTTCTCGGTGAAGCAGCCGCCGTGGATCTTCTTCTTGCCGCCCTTCGCAGGGATCTGCACCCGCCACTTTTGCACATTCTTCTCCCACTTCACCCCCGGCACTTCGCTGGTGAAGTTGGGATCCTTCTGCTTGGGCTCGCTGAGGATGCCCTTCTCCACCAGCTCTGCATGGAAGGCCTTGGCGGCCTGGAGAGCTGCTGCGTCGGCCTGAGCCTCGGAGATGCCGGGGCCCATGAACTTTTTCACGGAAAACATCCGACCTGTGCTGCGAATCTTTTTGCCTTTGGCATCTCGTTCGTAAAAGTGAACGCACCAGGATTGCATGGTGCTCTTCCATCCAACATTCGGCACGCCGCTTTGCTTCGCCACATTGTTTCTTTTGAATTTATTTGGTTTCTGCTCCCCACAGGTTGGTAGTGGATTCTCTGCAGCGGCCACTGCGATTGGGGCTTCTTCTTCGATCTTTTCGTCTGAAGGTTTCACCTCCTCTGCTGCAAGACCCACAGACTCGAAGACTTCCACGCCCTGCATGGCATTGCTGCCGCCTGAGGACGAGAGCCGTCGGAGACCGCTCTCATCGAAAGCCCAACCATGACCCGCCCAAACGGAAGTTGGCAAATCCCTCATCCACGGCCACATCTTCATGCAATCCAGGCCGCGGACCTTGTAGTCCTGACATTGGCAACTGGGCGGCAAAAATTGGCCAGGAACATCGGGGGGTCTCCATCTGGCTGTGCGAGACATGCCATGATAACAAACAGAAACGAGTCGGCTTTTAAATTAATGCAAATGATTTATAAGACGGAATGCAGGCGCATCACAGTTCATAATGGAGCCTATCCAGACAGGCCGGTCCTGCATTTGCAAGTCGCAATCCGATGGTGGCTTTGGTGGCATCGTCTGCAAACATGGCCAAGATGCCTCTACCTGCAGGAAACGGTTGGGAACGTTGGGAAAGAGTTTGACGAAGATGTTTGAATCCTCTCCCTACTGCTGCTACAAGGGGGACTCTTAAAATCTATGGACACTCTATGAATAGCACCCAAAGTACAGTGGAGAGCTCAGGGACACATTGGAGAGGGGGCAAACTGCGGCCTCACTCTCGAACGGAGTTTTGCACAGGCTGTGCTTATCGTAAAATCGCTGCAGGCACTGTAAGCCATGCCCAGAGAGACGCAGCACGCATGCTGGCGCATCTGGTGGTGGAGGAGATGGTGTTCCAATTGAGCCCAAGAAGAGGTTCGCAGGGCAGCAGGGCCTGCATTTGCGGGCTCGCAGCATATTGCAACATGTTCGCCGTTCGCCGATAACATACACGATGGAAACTCAGCGTAATTACATGTCCGCGCATGTGTGTGTGTGCGTGTGTGCACTTATTTTACATCTTGCATGCATAATATGTTGCAGTGAAACCAATGCCCTTTACAAACCACCAGTGACCTATGACATAGAAGCATTGACTTGAATCTCGTCCATAAGTTCTTTGGCAACCAAACTGCGCAGGATTGCTTTCAATATCAACGACAGTTTTTGATGTCACGAGAATAGGACCTGGTGGGGCTCCAAGTCTTGGAACTCCGAAAAGCCAAGCACTGCTTTGCCCAGGCCGCTGCTTGCAAAGCGAATGCATCCAAAGAGCTCTCCTCGGCAGCAAAGTCCTCCAAAACAAAGCGGGTTGCATCACCCAAACAAAAGGAATCACTTTAAACTTTAAACCTCTGCGGCTGTTCGGTTGGGTTTGTGATCATCTCCACGGCATTGTCTTTGTATCTTTGAGATTCTTTGAGTATCTTTGTAAACAAGGTTTCTGCTAGCTCTAGCTCTGCAGTCGGTTCTCCCAGCATCTGTCCTCCTGACCTACGACCTGGGCCGTGTCTTGCGTGCTGTGTTCGCTTGGTTCCTGATGCCTCTGGCAAGATGCCTGTGCTTCGCTGGAGCCAGAATCTTTCTCTGATGGTTGCATGGCATTTCCTGCAGCCGGGCTTGAAGCTGCAAGAATCACACCAGACTGCTTGCGGATTTCTTCCCGGACTCGGAGCCACAAATCATCCATCTCCATCCTCTTCTGTGGACTTTCAAGTTTGACTTGTTGCTCAGCACATCTCTCCGTTTTGACCTTCACACCATCAGGAATCTCTTTCTTTGCTGAGCTCAGTCCATCTGTCTGCAGAGTCTGTTGCAAATCGCGACGGGTCAAACGGCGCCGCTTGGCCGGTTTGGGTTCTGTCTCAGCTGCCGTTTGACTCTTTGCAGCTGTCACGCTCTGCTCTGGTACCATCTCAGTTGCAACTTCATAGCCGCAGCTTGTAAGATTTTGATGCTGCTCCTCCGCATTCTCATCTTTCACCCGGACATCCTGAAGAGGGAGTTCACAATCAAAACTTGAAGACCTCATCTCGTCTTCTATCTCCTCCTTGATCTCTGTCTTCACCCGCAGCTGACAATCATCCATCTCCATCCTCTTCTGTGGACTTTCAAGTTTGACTTGTTGCTCAGCACATCTCTCCGTTTTGACCTTCACAGCATCAGGAAGCTCTTTCTTTGCTGAGTTCAGTCCCTCTGTATGCATTGTCTTTTGCACATCCCGGCGGGTCAAACGGCGCCGTTTGGCCGGCTTGGATTCTGGCTCAGCTGTCGCTTGACTCCTTGCAGGTATCATGCTCTGCTCTGGTACCATCTCCTCAGTTGCAACTTCGTATCCGCTGTTTTTAGGATTTTGATGTTGCTCCTCCGCATTCTCATCTTTCACCCGGACATCCTGAAGAGGGAGTTCACAATCAAAACTTGAAGACCTCATATCGTCTTCTATCTCCTCCTTGATCTCTGTCTTCACCTGTAGCCACAGATCATCTGTTGCCTTCCCTCCCTTCTGTGGGCTTTCAAGATTGGCTTGTTGCTCAGCACCTCTCCCTGTTTTGTCCTTCAAGCCATCAGCACCTTCTCTTGTTGCCAGGCTTGGTTCCTCTATCTGCGCAGGCATTTTCACATCACCACTCGTCGAAGGCTGCGGTTCGGCAGCGCGCGATGCGTGAAGTGACTCCATCCTTCCAGGTGTGGTGCGCTAGGATTCAAGTTCTCAGGCACACCAACTTTGGTGCCGCCCGGTATGCCTCCGTTGCAGAGCCCAAAACGGCAATGTGCAACGTAGACCTTTAAAGATTACTGTAATCATTTGGCTCATGTATGCTTATGTTCGAGGATTGCGCATTCCAAAAAGTAACTTTCACAACCTCAATCAATCTACTTGCCGGGCTGGGCAAGCTTGGCATCATCTTGCACTTGCATGGCCTCACTATTGGCTGCATCAGCTGGCATCACCTGCACCAAGCAGCCAGCTCTTGAAGTCTTTTTCCAGCTTGAACTATGAGAAAAAATATCGGAATAGCAGAATATCATAGAATGTTTTCAGCTGGGGTAGTGAGCACTCCTTCGAGACCAGAAAGGTCAGATCTTCCACCGTCTGTGGTGCAGGGCCTCGCAGGCTCTCTGCAGAGCTTTCACCCCACACTGGAGGAAGCCTGGTAGCGGGTCACAGTTGAAGGGCGAGGGCCTGAAAACAAAACAAGAAGAAATCTCAAACCACTGGATGAGCATCAGCTGCTCTACCCACCCCGGCTGAAGAAAACCCGAAACAGCAAGGGCAAAAAGGCAAATACCCAACATATTCCTTATTTAACTGGTGCAGTCTGGTACTGTAAATCATGGGTAAACCCTTCTCCCCATCTCTTCACCTCCTGCCATGTCCGGCACGTTCAGCCACGTCATCTCATCGCCACCTCAAAGGCGGCAGCCCCCATCCCCACTGTATGGGAAAGGGATGTTGTTCCTACCATTGCCACACGCAACAGAGTATGATGCAGTGTGAAGACATTCTGTTCAACCATGTGACAAACAATCTAGACCATATAGAGATTCGGCCCGATGCCCCAAAATGTCAAGACACCCCAAGTCCTCCAAGACTCACCAAATGTTCAGAAATATCCCCAGAAGGTTTAAGGTTAACGGTTAACATCCAGCCACTTCCCTGCCACGTCCAGCTGTGTTCAGTTGCCGAGCCACGCACTTTTTGGCTGCGCCACACTCCTTCCCCGCCTCCGAGCCCAGCGGGCCGCAGGGCCACGCGCTGCGCCCCGCGACGCACCAGGCGTGTTGCCTCAAAGGACCAATGGTGCAGAGTTATTACCTTACCAAGATGGGGACGCGAGCATAGGAATGTGTACAAACTCAAGTCAAACAGGTTGCTATATATGACATAGCAGGCAGAAATGTACATATGGTAAATGTTTGACATTGTTTGAACTATGTGATCCTCTAAATGTGTGTTGCATGTGTGTTGCATGCAATCTGTCGCGGATCGTTGTTGCCTCAGAAGGATCAACTTCTTCTGCAAAAGGGCCATAGCACCTGGGCGGAAAAGTATCTCTACAAAACAGAGACATGCTTCAAGCCAGCATCAAGGCAGCACCAGCCAACAAATCTCAGCAGAAATGGAGATCCCCCACAAATTAAGAATCATGACAACCCATAATAACCCCATGTTTCTGACTAGCGACCTGTCACGGAGGAACGCATCGATGATGCAAATGCCACAAGAGTTCAGCTGTTCCACCTGCGATGCAGCGGTGCCAGCTGCCCTGGAGCTTAGCTTGGATTTGCTTAAGGGGTCCCAAAAAAATAAAACTTGAGAGGGGGAACACGAAAGGTAGGTAAGCAAGAAAGGAACCGAAGAAAAAATGAAGGGGAGAGGGGAGGGAAAAATACATAAAGTGGAGTCTGGTAAAAGCGACGCGGCCATTTTCTTTCCAAAAATATGAAGGGAGTCTGGTAAAAGCGACTGAAAGGCTTCGGCGATGTGGTTGGGGTTGGTGGTGGTTGTGGTGTTGGTGGTGTTGGTGGTGCTGGTGGTGTTGGTGTTGTTGGTGTTGTTGGTATTGGTGTTGTTGGTGGTGGTAGTGTTTCTGGTGTTGTTAGTGTTGTTAGTGTTGTTGGTGTGGTTGGGTTTGTTGGTGGTGTTGGTGTTGTTGGTCGTGTTGTTGGTGTTGGTATTGTTCGTGTTCGTGTTGTTGTTGTTGTTGTTGTTGTTGTTGCTGCTGCTGCTGTTGATGTTGTTGTTTGTTGTTGTGTTGTTGTTGTTGTTGTTGTTGTGTGTTGTTGTGTGTTGTTGTGTGTTGTTGTGTGTTGTTGTGTGTTGTTGTGTGTTGTTGTGTGTTGTTGTGTGTTGTTGTGTGTTGTTGTGTGTTGTTGTGTGTTGTTGTGTGTTGTTGTGTGTTGTTGTGTGTTGTTGTGTGTTGTTGTGTGTTGTTGTGTGTTGTTGTGTGTTGTTGTGTGTTGTTGTGTGTTGTTGTGTGTTGTTGTGTGTTGTTGTGTGTTGTTGTGTGTTGTTGTGTGTTGTTGTGTGTTGTTGTGTGTTGTTGTGTGTTGTTGTGTGTTGTTGTTGTGTGTTGTTGTGTGTTGTTGTGTGTTGTTGTGTGTTGTTGTGTGTTGTTGTGTGTTGTTGTGTGTTGTGTGTTGTTGTGTGTTGTTGTGTGTTGTTGTGTGTTGTTGTGTGTTGTTGTGTGTTGTTGTGTGTTGTTGTGTGTGTTGTTGTGTGTGTGTTGTTGTGTGTTGTGTGTGTGTTGTTGTTGTTGTTGTTGTGTGTTGTTGTGTGTGTGTTGTGTGTGTTGTTGTGTGTTGTTGTGTTGTTGTGTGTGTGTTGTTGTGTGTTGTTGTGTGTTGTTGTGTGTTGTTGTGTGTTGTTGTGTGTTGTTGTTGCGTTGTTGCGTTGTTGTGTGTTGCGTGTGTTGTTGTGTGTTGTTGTGTGTTGTGGTGTGTTGTTGTGTGTTGTTGTGTGTGTGTGTGTGTTGTTGTGTGTGTGTGTGTGTGTGTGTTGTTGTGTGTTGTTGTGTGTTGTTGTGTGTGTTGTGTGTGTTGTGTGTGTGTTGTGTGTGTGTTGTGTGTTTTGTGTGTTGTGTGTTGTGCGTTGTGCGTTGTGCGTTGTGCATTGTGCATTGTGCGTTGTGCCTTGTGCCTTGTGCGTTGTTGTTGTGTGGTTTGTTGTTGTTGTTGTTGTCGTCGTTGTTGTTGTTGCTGTTGCTGTTGGTGTTGTGGTTGTTGGTGTTGGTGTTACCCCTGCAGCGTTTTTGCTCGGTTCCGTAGTGGCCGAAAATCGTCAAATCGGTGGTGTTTTCGCGTGTTTTTGCAACTCTCGGAGCAAAAAACACCGTAAATACCGATGTTTTTGGCGGGTCGGAAGCCCAAAACCACGGTATTTACGATGTTTTTTGCCTCTGGTAGTAAAAAGCACGGTATTTACAGTGTTTTTTGGCCAGCGCCTAGCAAAAACACTGGTATTTACGGAGGTTTCACCATGTAGCAAAATGTGGTTTCTTGATCCGAAAAGAACAAAAATACTGTAAATTACAATGTTTTGAGTCTGCTCTTAGGGTGCGTGGGAGGTGTGGGGGGGGTACTAAAATGACTAGCAATCTCCTGAAGAATCAGGTAACGGGGCTGGCCGCCCTCTCCTTTACTTCGTAAAGTAAAACTCAAGGTAGCCCCTCTGGAGCTACCTTTCGTGACATATTCACTATAGTCACTATAGATCACTATAGATTCCCCAAATGGTGGATTTTCCATTGGGAAAAATAACAAAAAATCACCTTCAACAAATCCAGGTTAGCAGACGTCATCCCACGACAAAGATCGCCTCTTTGGGCTGCAATAGCCTCAACTTTTTGGTGGGCGCAGACAGCAGCCGTGGCGGTGTGGAGGACAAGGGCGTCAGCAGCACCGTGGGCGCACCAGCTGCTGTGTCCTGCAGAGTCTGGTGGATTCTACCGGGTTCGCTGGAGAAACACCAAACAGATGACCAAAGAATCCAATGATTCAACGAGTCCTTCCCCAACATCGCTTGGATCGTCGACGCGATGTTGGTGGGCAGGCCTTGTGGATAGGGACCTCGCGACATACGCAGCCAAATAATAGGTCATGCCCCCGTCATGTTTCCATAAGGTAAGACGCCTTCGCTGGAATATCTTTGCACAAAAAAAAACATGCATGATCTTGCTAGGAATCGTGCAAAAGTGCAAACAAAAATTGTCCAGGTATGCCAAGATATGCCAAGGCCCAGACTTTTTGATGACTGTGATGGTGTTGCCGTGGCCTGATCGACTAGATACCGACTGGATTCCCCCAGGGCCCTTTCGAACAGCCATCTGAAAAAGATCCTTGTGGGGAAATCATGGGAAGCACCATTTCCATGCCATTTCCATGCAACTTGCACTGCAACTTACACCATGATGAAACTCCACTTTTTTCATCAGCTCGTTGCACTTATTGCACTTACTGCATTGCGCATAAGGATCCACCGTGGTGCCAACTTTGGGCACCGCAAAGGTCCCGGCATCGGCGTGCAGAGCCCACGAGCCGTCTCGAAACTGAGGAGACTGGTGTGAAACAATGATGAATTGATTTCAATGCTTTACGAATGATTCAAGTGATTAAATGCTGTACGGTACAATATTCGTATAGGCTCATAAGTTCATAAGCCTTTTTTCTCATGATCAAATGATCAAATCAAACCTGTCCTTATTGTTCTGCAGCCTCAGGAAGCCACGAGCCGTGGGGCCTTCTGCATCAGCCAACTGCTGAGCCGGCAACATGGCTGAGACTTGTCGCTCTTTCAGATCTGGACGGCGACGTTGGTTCCGACGGTGTGTCTTTCGGACCAGACGAAGGCCCAGAAATCACAGTTGACGAAGGAAGTTGAGCGACCCAGCCTTGTTGCCGATCAGAAGTTTTGTGCGAATCTGGTAGGTTTTCGCCGTGGTCAAGAACTCTGCAAGTTTCTGGAATGAGCTTCTGTCTGACAGGTCGAACACGGTGAAAAGAGCTTTCTTCTTGTGAAGCTGACTCACCTGATCCCAGAGATACCTCAGGCAGAAAAATCAGCAATTGAAATCTTTTTGAGCACAAACTCAGGTCAAAACACATAGATGAATCAAAAAATCGAAGGAGAAGTTATTTTGTGTTGCAGTGCCGTACAGTTTCTCGATGACTTGGAAGATGGACCAACAGTAAGTCTTCACTTTAGAAATGAGGGTCTTCCAACACCAACATCTTATTGCCAAGTGTCAACCTCACCAGCGCCTCCTCAACTCTCAGGTGCACTCGCATAAACGGGAAGCCCATGGTGTCTGTTTTTTTCATGGCATGCCTGAGGTCCAACACCGAACCATGGATGCATAAAAATCATCATCTAAGTGATTCTTCATGCCATTTCTCACTTGGGAATTTGACATCATGTGTAGTGAGTAGTTTTAAAAAAAAAACACATTTCTTTATTTGGCTTACAAATCCCAATGGTTTCTCACTGGGTTTACCGCAATCCGGCAACCTTAGTAGACGAGGCACGATTTGAGCAGCCGGGATTTGCCAGAGCCACTAGGCCCACGAAAGGCGAAGGACATGACGGTGAAATCTCATCATCCATCCTGGGAGCATCACCAAATGTTGGATAAATTGTGGGATGATTTTGGAGAAGTTTGACACCTGATTCATAACCATGATTATACCCCAAATGGCTGATGATATACACTCTGGTTATGACTAACATAGCCATGGAAAATGGCCCATTTATAGATGATTTTCCCATTAAAACCTCCATTTATGAGGGATTTTCCATGGCTATGTTAAATAACCAGATGGTAAGTGGCATATTTCCTATATCATCTTATATCATCCAACCTCCATGAAATCCCCAAGTCCACCGAGCGGCTCGAGGTTATCCGGTTATCCACTTTGGGCGGGCCGAGATCAACTCCGAGAGCACCTGCATTGGAAAAAGGAAACGGGATCCCTTGGAAAAAGGGGGATGGTCCCAGGATTTTACAATGGAAACCTTGGTTTTTTGTTGATGATCTTCAGATTTGTAGATGGAAATTACCTGTTTATTGATGATTTTCCCTGTGACAATATGCAATGTTCCATTGCCGTGTTTGCTTACAACAGGGTTGGTGGAACGAACGGTCCATTTCACTCTCAGAAGGCCACAACCAGTATCAACCAACAACCACCTCCCAGGATATCTTGCCTGGGAACGCTTCACCCACATGCCATGGGCTTCAGACTTTTCGTTCTCTTGGATACCCAGGCGTTGGAAAATATCCGCCACACGGGCAGAAACAGGCATCTGGATGTCCTGCGGGCGCAATGGAGAACACAATAGAACACATGGGCGTTGTGATTGCAAGTACTGCATCCAAAACAAGACCCACTCCACAAAGGCCTTAAAGAAATTGAACATCTCAGTATTGTCCTGCACTTCACCTGAAAGCAAGTGGACCTGCACAGCGCGGTCCATGGCCACCAACGTTTTGTTTTACATGCGCTGTTGGATGGGTGGTTTTTGCTGTTCTTCAGATCAGCTGGGAGTTTGACCAACCCGATTTGAGATTCGATTCAGCCTTTGAGCAATCAAATGGCTCAAGGCTCGGTCGGCGAAGTGTTGTGGAAAGCTGGTGCTGCTTGAGGCTTCCTGTAGATTGGAAAATTTGGCACTGTCAACTCCAGACCTTGAAAATCCATGATGAATAAATGAATAATGCTTTGTATTATGACCAAGGTTAAAAACCCAGACTAGAAACGATATTCCCCGCCAGAAGATCGCTGGATGCCCCAAAACATGAGACATCTGCGGCGTCTGCGGCATCTGCGGGCGCCTCATCCATGAAGTCGCCGGGATCCATTCCGCCGCGCAATGCACGTGCCTGGTCATTGTGATGGGTCACTAGCAGCTCTAGTCAGAGGTTCATATCAATATGAAATATGTAAGCTATTCTATTACATAGGCTATTGGATAGATGTTGTTGTTGCTGGTGGAAACCTACCGCCATCGAAGGCATCTGGGTTCAATTTCTTCGTTCTTTCATGTTCTTTCGATCTGCTGTCATCTCTCTCGACTGCCATCTGCTGGCATTTTGTAGAATGTGATGCAACTGTGTCAACTCCTGGTCGAGGTTACATGATAATGGTGCCTATCCTGAAAAGAATAGTAATTCTTGCCCCTGATCCTGACCCCCCATATCAATCAGCCAAGGGGTTCTTTCATCCAGTGCTGATAGCAACCTCACTGGTATCAACACTCAGGAATTTTTGGTTTCCAACAATCCGCCGAGGTACAGACAACTTTCGCTTCTCAAAGCTGATCCCTGCGAATTCTTCATATTCGCGGAGGCTTCGTGCAGCTGGAGGCTCATGGCTACTCTGGCCATCTGGCAGCCAATTCATATGTGGCATTGTATGGCTAGCAAGTTCATCCTGGAAACGCAGAAAACCTGCACCTAATGTTAGATGTTGACACCCAGGTCGTGAGCGACAATGTTGACACACCACAACTATGCCATAGCACACCTCCACCAGAGAGCTGCATTGTAACACGCTTCTGAGAAGCTGCTTGGCGTTGGCGCTGCTCCTACTGCGAGTTTCCAGAAACACCGAGCAGTGTCAGGACAAACACACTAGTTGATTTAAATCTCCCCAATCCCACCACCGCAACAATAAAATGTGCAATATGTGCCGTGGTCAAAACATGGTATATGTGATATGGTCATCCATCCCAGAATGCAAATCCTTACCGTGAGAGAGAGAGAGAGAGAGAGATCCCTAGGCAAAGGATTGATGATCATCTCCCAATATGGGCAATTTACCCATGATTCTTTTTAACCCATGGTCCTCTGAGTCGTGCTCCCTGAAGACTGGGCGATGCTTCCGAGTCCACAGGTGGTAGCCCATCACCTTCGCAAGGCAAATTTTGTGTCACCCCAATGCAACTCATGACAACCACCTACTTCTATCTACTTCTGATACTGAATGCAAAACAATACATGAAGCGACCACACCCTTGAGCACTTCCCCTCCAAGAAATAATCCAACAGCACCGTGTTTTTTGACAGGCCTTGGTTGGGGCAAAGAAGTCCCAGCCGGAGGTCCACAAACGAACCGCCATACTGGACTCCTGGCAGCTCCACATGGGCCCCGGCTGGTTAGAGGTTTGCTGCCAAGTGCGAACATTTACCATCATTCCCCACACCATATGCAACACGTTGGTCCCATTTTCCCAATTCAAGCATTTGATCGCAACAGAAACATCAAAACGCGCACTTTTTGGCATCTCAGCATATCTCAGCAGTCAGATAGTGCGTCATCAAGGAGGATCAGACTGGCGACTGCAAAAGGTAGTCAGTGTCCTCCGCCTTCTTTCTGGCAAGACTTGAAACAGTTCTCATGCCGACAAAGTAGAGGATGCATGCAATGACATCAACGACCACCACCCAGGCTAAAACTGGCATGCCCCAGAAGTAGTCCATGTCTTCAACATCTGCCAGTTGTTTGTGTTCTTTCGACCATCTGGAGGCATAGTTTGGCTGAGAACTGTGGGATGACGCTTCCACCAGTGCCACCGTGGGTGCCTTCGGTGCCTTGGTTTGCTTCGGCACGCTCGCCGTCACCGATTTCGGCTCCGCTTTCAAGGCAGAGCAGCTGGAGAACAGCACCAGGAGAGCGAACAGCACCGGTTGGATCCTCATTGCGGGTGGGCGGAGCCGCCCAACCAAGGGTGCATCACAGGGATGTGACCCTCGGGACTGTCCAGCGACACCTTTGGTGCGGCCAGAACTTGAGCCAACACCAAAAAAATCGTGATATCAGATGATATCAGATGATATCAGTGATATTTGTGTGAACTTATGTGCTTCAACGGCACAACCACTCCAATGATATATGTTGATTTGTGTTGATCGTTGGCCATGGAACAACAAACATGACTCTGCCGGCAGCCCACGGCACCTCGCCAAAGAAAAGGTCCTCTAACCTTATGTCCTCAGCCAAAGAATTGAAAAAGTCGGGAAGAAGCGAAAGAAACATAAAGGAAGCAGCTGTACTTGCTGTACAACCCCCCACAAAACCCAAAACAAAAACATTCAAGATTTTCCCATTACTAATTATCCCAATTAACTAATGATGTCTCCATTATTTCATCACCCGGGAGTTGCAGTACACATGTCGTGCTTGCCAGGTGTCGTAGGGAACCTCCTTGACCACTTGGCCTGAGGAGAATGCAAAGCCGGCAGCCCAGAACAGCCCCGGTCTCGGTTCCGAAAACGTCTTGCCTCAGCAGTTGCGACGACCAAAGATAGAATTTTAATGAATTGGAATTTTTATATTTGATATTCAATTGGTTCCAAGTTATTGAATTATAGATGTCATAGCTAATTGATAGCAAGGTGAAAGAATGTCTGCAGAGATGCCAATGTGGCAGCGTCCATGCGCGACATAGCTACAAATAACAATTGCAAGCCGCTCAACCAGCTGCCAAGGTGACTTGCTGACTTGCGATGTATCGATTTAGATGTAATTTCATCATCTCAACAAGAGAAGGAGGAAGCAAGCCGAAGGTGTTGCAGAACACGAATGCTCTCCAGGTTTACTTCCAAGTTGCACTTCTTTCCAGTGATCCGGAGGAAACCATCAGCCCCAAACCTCATGCGAACTTGCTGACACCCCCATTCGAATTGCCTTTCAACTCAGCAAAGTGGAAAAAAAATAATTGGATCACTGGATCGCAAAGATCCATGGTTTTCATGGTCTCCATGGTCTCCATGGTCATCCCAGATTGAACCAATGTCCCAGCAACTCTCTCGCACACAGCGCAATGGGCTCAATGGACTTGGGCAGCTCGGCCGCGTCGGGCATTCCTGGTCGATAGTCCTCAACCGCAAATGGTCGGATTCAGCGGGCCTAGCACCGCCCAGCACGTCCACCCCATGTTTCATGCGTCGCTGCTCACTCCTCCGGCAAAGTATAGCTTGATGGGTAGGTGCCTTGGTTGTAGGCAATTGTCAGTCACTGTGGAGGTCCTTGTTCACTATGGCTTCAACGATTTCAATCTTGTGTGAGTCACCGCTGGCATTAGGTGTGCGAGACATCTGAGGGTAGGGTTTCAGTTTGGGTTCCATCTGCAAGCGTGTCAACGATTTCAATCACCATCCATAGGATACGGTGAAAGCAACTTGTGAGTGGTTACTCATTTCTTCTGACTCACTTCACCAAACCATATTAAAGCTCATCCCTCATTTCCAATGGGCCCAGTTCCCGCAGCAAAAACGCCTCACCAAAATAAAGCCCTTCGCAAAATCCATGTGACTCAAGATGGGCTTCTTGCTGTCACACATCCCCAGCTGATGGATCAACTCTTCATCCCATTTGGGGATCATACCTCAGATGCACCATGGCCGTGGTGCAATGGCAGTGGCTGACAGACTGACAGAGCTCAGAAATTCCACAATGCTTTGCCAAGGGGACGGAAGTGACTGTCCAATTGGAAGTAGTAATCCTCTGCCTTTCGCAGGGACGGAAACATCCTTTTGATTTGAATCAAGGCCTGTTCAAATGGGGATGGGTCAAAACCTTGTACCTCTGTAGTTCACATCAAAATAGCTGGGATTTATGGATGTGAATAACCCCCTAAAAATGGTATTTTCATAGGTATTGATCCATACCCAAATCACCCTGACTACATCTGACTACCCCGACTGGCCAAAACTGCTGCAGTGCCCACCGATTCGGCCTGAAAGAGCTCTTGTTGGATACGTGCCCTCGCATAGCAAGGACCTCGAGCTTCTGAATGATGCAGAAACAGCGTGCGGACTTGCCCAGCATAGGAACCTGGGTCACGTATGCCGCCCTGTAGGTAACAAGCTCCAACTGAAGTTAACAAGACTGAAAAAAGAAAAACGGTTGAAAGTCTAGATATGTCTTGACCTTTGACCTTTAACAAGCATTCATTATCCAAGGAATGGGCTGGGTGGTTGCAACAGGAAGCAGTCTGCATCTTCTTCCCGGTCAACCTGGCAGAGTCACCACCTCCCTGGCCATCAATGATCGACACAAAGCTTCACAAGGTCTCAAGTCTGTGGTACAAATCATCACCTACCAGTTGTGCAAAGTGTTCAGCCATGTTCAGCCCGTCCTGCCAGCAAACTCCGATGAAGACTCTACTGGGCTTTGCAGCTTTCTCAAAAAGGTCGATGATTGTGTACCTTGGCTGTGCTTGCCATGGGGTTTCCATCAACCCGTGTCAACAGCATGCACCTAGGCATGGGATCATAAATTGGTTTGGGTTTTCAAGATATCCACCTGACATCACCTGACCAAGCCCAAGTCTTTGAAGGAAATGGTGCATTCGGTTTCGATGCCGCGTGGCTGGCACTCAGGATCACGATAGGCTGGAATTGACACGAAGATACTGGGATCTGCCGCCATTTGCGCCACTTCTCAAGTGCAGTAGACAGAGGCACAACCCAGCATGGTGTGAAAGCGTGTGTGTGGGTCAATCTAAAAATGTCATGGGAAGGAGCACAGAAGCGCTACTCCATTCCCTCGGGATGGAAACTTGATAACGGTTGTAAGCGATAGATCAACGCAGTGTCCCAATGGCAGTTATTCCTTGGCTTCAAGTCTTGCACTCGCGTTCTACAATGTTTTACAACCATTGATTTCTGATCCGCGAGTTTGAGCATGATGAGATGTGAATGTTGGAGAGGCTTGAGGGTTGGTCATTCTCCTAGCTTTGATCTGTCAATTGATGTCCAAAAGCCCTTTGAAGAATGGCTTGGGTGTGAAGCGGCGGGCGTTGCAAACACAAAGGTTGACGCCTTACCAATACGTATGATTGTGCAGCTCGTGCCAAACGTACGGCAGCAATCAACAATCGGTGGCAAAAAAAATAATGTTTCACCAGCTACTCATGAAAAGCGTTCATCAGAAACATCAGCAAATGGTCTTGGAGGACCCGAAGTGGCCGCCATTTTTTCATCGGAGAGCCTTCTTTGCTCTCGACAATGATGGTCCCGTGCAAGCCAGCGGGTGACGCTGGACGTTCAGGAGCTGTCACCTGGCGGTCTCAGTTCTCAGCCATGATCTGGTTCAACCATTCTTCAGCCGTTCAATCATAACCCCCCAGAGCCATCCATGGCCCCCACCTCGATGGTGAGGCGGCACTTGGAGCTGATGCCATGGTCTTCCAATTTGGCCTTCAACTCGGGGAGTAAACAAACGCCTCCGGAATAAACTTCCTCCAGCAGCAGGTGCTCACGCAGGCGCTCCACCATGTCCTGCTCAAGTTGAAAGGAGAGACCAGCATGATATTTGGCAATATCTTTTCAAAAATAGCGGGCCCATGTTGTTTTCCGGGTCAAACCAAGGGTCCGATAACAAGTGCAGTGGTTCCCAGTCAAATCCCTTCAAACTTTCAGTGATATCTTCTGAAACAACCACCAAACCACTCACCCATGTCCCGATCTTCATCTTCAGGTAGCACGGCAAAGCTGAAAGCACTCGCACCCACTGGGCAGTTCCGGGCCAAGGCCGACCTGAGGGAAACCACCATAACAATTGGCAACATGTTGAGCCATGAAGCAAACTACCGCCAACTCTGAGCATCCATGCCCTCCACCGGGGCGGATGCGCACGCTGATTTCTTGATGGGACTCCTGAAAAATCAAGCTCATCATTGGTAATTGAGATTCTGAGATCAGAACACAGAAAAATGGCCCAGAAAAAGATGGAACGCAACTCAGTTGATGGATCCATGATGACAGAATTGATCCATGACACCTGTTGCCTTGAAAATTCTGACCCAACCAAGATGGCCTGTGCTGTGCGACTGCTACGACTCAGGTTGCTGGTGGCGCTCGTGGTGCTCGTCCGACGCTTCCGCATATGGACGCCCAGCGCAGCCGTCAGCGCACTGCTGAGGGCTCGCCGGAGGCAGCCCGCCAAGCTGGCAACGATGGCAACACGACACGGTGCCGACACAGCCTCCGTAACTCTGCAAAAACGTTTCTTTCAGAAGTTACATCTGATACATTCTCATACTGTCCTTATCATACCTTATCATATACCTTATCATATACCTTATCATTTACCTTATCATACCTTTTTGCCTTTTCATCAGCTCAGAAATCACGATCGTTCGATGGAGAGTCAACGACAGTTCTTTGGCTCGTGCGCGCTGGCGCATTGCGCCTGGGCACTGCCAGCTTCACATTCTCCACCAGCACCACGCCGCTGAGACCCAGAGCCAAAGCCTTGGCCTATAACCAGAGAACCGAGCAAACCAGTTTTACAAACGCTTTGCCAATGTTTTAACAGGTGATGGTTTTTGGCGTTAGACACGGTGTGAGTTTAACAGTTCAAGTAAATCACAAGCAGAACAGCACTGTCACAACCAGCTCCTGAAGTTTATTATGTATTAACCGAAACCTGGTGCTCATTCCCAGCCTCAAACGCTGCCTCTGCTGTGGCGTCAATAGCGGCTTCCTGCAAAGACTGCCATCGCGTCAGCATCTGTGTTCTGAAGCCACGGCTGCCAACTCAGGACCATCAGATATTGAAAGGTAGTCATGTGATGATTGAACAGAGTTTCGATCAGCATCAAAAATTGAAAACGATTGAATGAACAGCAAACTCAAACTCCAGTCTTCTACAGAACACACAATGAACAGGCCTCCCATCCCACGTTGCCAGTGTCTGAATTCCAGGCCATCGCTTTGCGGCGGCCAAGGTGCAACAGACGCCGAAGGTCCTCCGTGTAAAACCCGATCTCTGTTTCACTTGCCATCTCTTCCCTCAAATTGGCAAATCTCCGATAATGCGTAACTGTATAAATTCGTACACACACATGTATATGTATATCTACATATTATGCAACACATATATATGTGTACTATATATAATCTCTCTCTGTTGCTATTGCTTATTAGTTATGTTCACACGCGCTTTTGTGGCCAATCCTCCGCAATCTGCAAGCCAAAACGGCTACGTGTTGCTCAGATCGCAGCTGTCGAACCTTGCACTAAGTTCCAGTGACAAGGCATGACCTCAGCACCTCAAGTCATGATCCAACCACCTTTTTTGCTCATGCCAGCGATGCCAAGCGCTTTGCAGCCTGAAGCGATGGCATCACATGCATCACGATTTCAATGGATTTCATGTTTGAATCTCTTTGAAGGCTGCTGTCATTTCCAGAGATACCAAGAGATGGCCATCCGTGGCACCATCGCCATCCATTGCCTCCTCTAGAGTAGCATCCGTCTTGGCCTTGGCGGCCGCTCAGTGTCTTGAGATATCCCGTTTCCGTATCTTTCCACGAGGCTGCCAGGTGCCAAGGCCGGGACGAAACAAAAGCGCGCAAAACGGGTGCGAATGTTCTTAGCAGAGCCTGCGCCTTAATTTTTGCCGAAAAAACAAACTGCACAGGCCACCCAGCTTTGTCACAGTGCCTTTGGAGCCATCCGTTGAAAGTGAGTGTTCATATGGGTGTTCTAACTTTTTGTGCTAAATTGAAATGTGCTCATCCATCTTAAGCTCGAGGCCGAAGAATGGGCTCACCGGAAGGCTGACGATGCCAATCTCAGCTGCAAGGGCTCGGCAGCAGGTCCAATCCTTGGCTTCATCGGGCCTCAGTCGCAACCGCCGCAAACATCTGCCATGGCAATCACCACATGTCACCAGGCCATAACAGGCACCAAACCATACCAGGCCTTAAGGATGCCTCCCAGCTCTCATGTAGGGGACCTTCTGGACCTGGGGCTGACCCGTAGAACTTTCTATGAAAATCTATGAACATCCAAGAGCTGTCAACTAGTTGGTGGTGACAAGAGTGACCGAGTGTCAAACCACATAATCCACTGATGTCTCCGAGCAAGAAAAAACCTCCTTGCGACCTGCAACAAGCCATATGAGGGAAGTAGGTTGCACACTAGGATATGATAGGATATGCGCATCTAACCATGCAGCGCGTTCAACCCCTTGGAACTCACCCTTGATGGTCGTCCCACGCCTGGCAGTTTTGATGCCACCAGCCTGCAGCGTGAGTCCGGTCACCGTGCAGAACACGACAGATGATCATCACGTAGGGCCGTGCAGCCAGGCCTCCAGTGCGGCCACCATGATGTCACGCCGCCGAGCATAGTCCTGGATGCTTTTCTAACGCCAAACGGAAGACCAAGAAAATCCAAGAAATGGAAGTGGTAACAAAATGTAACAAAGACAGAGTAAAGATCCCACCTGTCGCAGCCATTCATAGTAGCTCTCCGCACCATGAAAGGGCTGGCAGGGTTGAAGCGCACCACCAAAATCACCAAAAAAAGGGTTGGAACTGCCATGACATGACTCTCAAACGATTCACTCCCTAACAGCGATGTGGCGTTCGAGGAAATTGCTTTTTGTTGGTTCCCCGGATGTTTTGCCCTGAAATTCAAGTTGGAATTAAACTTGCACCTGTTCAAAACATCCCAAACTGGATCAATTATATATTAATATATAGTATACATATAGGGAAAAAAAAATCCATATAGATTCATATAGATTCATATAGATTCATATAATAGCGTATCTCGAGAGCTGCGGAAGTTTCCCAAATCTTGGGCGCCTCTGCGGCCTCGCGCAGCACGCGGCACAAGGCACGCTGCGTGAGCGTCGGGGCACAGAACCTGAGATCCGCGCGGCCGAAACTGAATTTCACGAAACCCCTTTAGGCCCTCTTTAGGCCTTTGGCAATTCTCTAAGTCAAAAAAAGAATGTAATTAACTCTATATCGTAATATTATGTAATATTAGCAGGTTGAAAAAGGAATGTCATCAATCCAACTCAATGATGCTGTCGACGTGTGGCCAAGGTTTCGGCTGCAAGTTCGGCATATAGCACTGGATAGGCTCCATCCACTCGCTTGGACCGATCAGCCAACCTGACCCCCATGAGCACATAGGTCATCGTAGGTCATCGTAGGTCATCGTAGGTCATCGTAGGTCATCGTAGGTCATCGTAGGTCATCGTAGGTCATCGTAGGTCATCCACGGAATTCGATTTTTTTGCTTGTCTGTTCCAGCAAGAGCATGTCGTACAAAGATGTACAAAAGACAGGTGATTGCAGAGGCAAAACAGCTTAGATCGCATCAAAGAAACCAAATCTTTCAGATGGAAAATCGTCTTATTGGATGATCGGCTTCAAGGGGATGGATGGATGGACATCTCCCTCCCTCCCTCTATGGCCTATCTGCCATCCGGTGATGCCGAAGGTCTTCCCAGCAGAGCTCACCTGAACAAATGGTCTCTTGAGTCTCTTGTCGGAAGATGTAACAACGAGAATCCACAAAAGTCAGGACCGTACCGTGAGGGTCTTCTCCCACATGCCCGGCAGCTTTGCAAAGTGGATGTGACCTGCTGGTGAATCCTGGCAAGTTCTAGCAGGTCTTTGGACATTCCTCTGGAATTTGATACCAATTCCCGCAATGCCGCAATGCCCAATATTGTTCAATTTCGACTCTGCGCGACCCATTCCTTCTGGTTGGCAAGACCGCCACTGGGAGGATCGAAGATCATGTACTTGTAAACCTGCTGGCAGCAGTTAGGTAAACGAAGATCCTTCTGGTCTACCTGTGTATTTAGAAGATCTTCCCATGTACAATGTAGACCTACTCCGCACCACTTCTTACGTACAATCCCGCATGGAGAAGAAACAAAACTCTTGATGATCCATGGCGAAATAGGATGAAGAAATGGATCCTTTAACATACTTGATGCATATCTGGAAGTCAGGCCAGAGCCAAGACTTGCCTCGTCACTGATCACCAGCAGATTTGGATGTTGTTGGGCCAGCTTCGCAATGGCCTGACACTGTTTGCCATCTTGACATCACAGGCCTCACCCCATAGAGAGCAAGGCCTTCAGCTCCCACTCTTCAAAAGCCTTGCCCGTTGGGTTGTGCCTCAGATCGATTTCGAATATCAGCGAAGAACAGCGATGTCTGCACACAGCAGGATCCCTCCAAAAAAACTCAAAAATCATAAGAAGTCTCACCACGTAAGTCTCACTGTGCGTGTGTTCAACCCTTGAGTTCACTTCCCAAGTCCGGTTCTGGTTCTGGGCCACCCCCGCGGCGTGTTGACGATCAACGCTGCCGTCTGCGGCCCCAAGGCCTCCGCCAAGGCCTCCACGTCCAGCTCGAAGCATCGCTTCGCCTCGTCGAAACGCAGCGCCACGCTGCGGAACTCCGCGTTCAAACCGCGCGCCTGCGAGCCACGCGGGCCAGGTCAGATCTGACGTGAGAAATACTTCGAAAAATCTGGTGACCTATGTGGGGATGGGTCAAAACTTTGTACCCCTGGTGAACATCAAAATAGCTGGGATTTATGGATGTTCATCCCATTAACAATGGTATTAATAGGTATTGATCCATAGCCATGTGCGAAATGTTGGGGCCATAGAGGTCATGACAAGAGATGGCTCATACGTCTTCGATGCAGTGTCTGGACTAGTTTCCAACCTTCCATCGCAAACATGTCGACATGAATGTACGGCTGATCAGGCTGATCAGCTAATCATGGCCTGTGACCGATAAAGTTCGAAAAATGGCTCCAGCGCCACAATCTCTCGGCCAGCTCCAGGGCGAGCTAAGGCAGCCTCGCGACTGACCCAGAAACTTTGAATACCCAGAAATTGTTCAAGAATTAGCACAAAATTTACACAAATTTTGTAAAATGTATGAAAATGTATGAAAATGTGTCAGCTGGACAGGCCTGCATGGCCAGGAACAAGGCATTGGTGGCGCCGACCGTCACAGCCACCTGGTGCCAGCAACGACCGGTACTTCTTGTGGTCACGTGGCGTGGCTGTCGTGGCTGTTGTGACATGACGGACCTCCTTCATAGCATCCAAGGACCGACCCAGATGGCGGCTGTAGCGCTCTGCCAGCGCCTTGCAAGACACCAACAAGGTCCCATCATGTTCAACATGTTCAACATGTTGAACATACCTCCTGATCTACTCCTTGTCTCACCTTGGAAGTCATGCCGAGTCATGCCTGTGACTATGCAGAACACGTGCAGAATTTGTGTGCAACCCGTGGGTTTCGTGACTATCTTCCTGTCTTTTCCTGGGCCAACTGAGCCAACCGGGCCCGGAACCTCAACCAGGGTCACATGTCCCGCTGTCCTGGTCAAGGCTGGGCTTTCAAAAACTGGCATCACATGTTGTTGTTGTTCTTTTATATGTTTTTGTGTGGTGCTTTGTTCAGGTGAAATTTTCAGATATGAGCATGCAGCACTTCAAATTCTCCAAGTTGACAATGTGTTTTTTCTGTCACATCACACTGTTTTTCTGTGCCTCGTGTACTGGTGCCTAGTGCGCACGGCACCAGGCACGGTACCATCCAGCTCATCACGCAAGGCCTGAAAAGAACAATTTGCAACAGCTGATTCTCCAAACCAAAAAGTTCGTGACCCAATGTGATCCAACAATCCCCACCAGTAACTTAAAGTGACTTCTAGCAAAAATATGCAAAAATTGCCTTTCAAGCATCACTGGACCATACCGCGAAAGATGATGGTGTGACTTCTAGTGAGTTGTACTAATCTATACTAACTTTTTTTTAAGTAGTGAGCAGCTGTTATACCAGTAACTTATAGTATCTTCAGAAATGACTTCACTGATTGCTTTACCACTTGAACACTTCATCGCCATGTTTCCGGCCTTCACCACGAATTCGGGCGGATCAAAGTTGGGGAAACCTTGGCCCAGATCGACACAGGAGTCGCCCAGCATCCTGGAGCTCAGAGGGATGGAATGGGTCATTATGGTCATTGTAACCCTGGTACTATCTGGTACTTCCATGTCATGTGGAAAATCGACGGGATGCGTTTTCTGTCAGGATGTTGGTCTACCCGGTCTACCCGATTCCTATCAATTCTTCAGTTTCCCCGCACCCCTTCCCCTCGTTGTGTTTTTGATGCAGTTCAGATGGACCAGGCGGCTTCGGGACATGGTGACTGCAGCACTAAAGGACAATACATACTCGTAAATGGCAGCAAACAACTTGCAGACGTCCGAGATCGTGAAATACACATTTCCCACCAACTAACCACTGCTCTTGGCTTCTAGTTGCTGCTAAACAAACTAACTCAGTTTGCTTTGCCTTCCTGCCCCTCTGTAAACTGACCAAGGCCTTGCAAGCCCACTGAACTCGCCAAAGACGCTCTTGGTGGGTGCCCCAGATGGAACTGCCAGGGATGTCATCTACAGAAATATCTATACTGCTGATAAAAGTCCAATCATTCAAAGTGCATGAAGTCATAAAGTCTGGGAAGTATGTTGGTCTTGCAAATATTTTTGGGTAGCTGTCTGGTGAGTCCGGTGTGATTCAGCCTTATTCATTCCGCTGATTTGGACACCGCACCTGCAGGACCATCTTGAACAGGATCCGGCGATTCCATGGGTTCATCATCTTCGGCCAAGCTGGATTCTGGCATGCCGACCTTGAGGACTTGGCTCAAATCATGTTGCAGCCATGGCCGGCTAAAGATCAAACAAAACTACAAGTGAAACATGGGGTGCCAAATGATCCCATAAAAGGCCCGTGTCTTATCCTCTGGGTAACAACAATAGCAACAACAAGAAACATCATGTTGTGGATCCTTTGTAAAGCCAATCATTAACCATCACAAGAATTGGTTTTATTGGTAGGCACACTGAAACTTAGAATGCGATTTTGGAAACGGCGCGTTGCAAAAAAACAAAACAGGGAATTTCAAAAAAATGGTGCCCGGTGTTTTTTTTGCCCTGTTTTGTCAGTCCGCGCGTCTTAACAATGGAGATCTTAGAATGCGTGGCCACTGAAATGTTGACCATATATGTATGTATCTATCTATCCATCCATCCATCCATCCATCCATCTATCTATCTATCTATATAAAGGTCTATTTATAATATAATATTATATTATATTGTATTATATTATACATAATATAATTATATGTATAGAGGTATGGATAATATACCCGTAGTCTCAATCCCCTCATTTGGGATGGAACATCCCCGGCCCCAAGGTCGCGGCCAAGCGTGTGGCGATCCGCCGCAGTTCTTGTGCGCCGCGGTCGATGTCACCGTCGACACTCAGAATGGTGGAGTCCCACTGGATGGAACCGTACTCCTCGTGCGACAAAATCCCAGGTGGGGAGAGTTTTTGAATGGTTTTTGGAGGCGTTCGGATGTTTTAGGATGCTTTATGATGCTGTATGCCTTGTGATGTTTCAGAATGTTGTTGTGGGTGAACAAATCTGGGATAAAGATGGAGAAAGGGAATGAAGGATGAATTGGTTCTCCTTCATCTCTTTTCGAGCCGTGGCCAGTCGTCTTTGGATACCGGCCTCGTCGTCCACACCTGGGAATCACTTGGGGTCAAGGAACTCCTCTGGAATCTACCTTTGTTGAGATTGCCCCCTTTGCGTTTGATCTCCCGCAGGTTTTCCTTCAAGTCTTAAGTACTTTGCATATCTTTCTGCCAAAATGGCCGCCTAGGACAGTCGAAACGGCAGCACTGCGGCGCCTCTGGAGCGCAATCGTGCCTCCAACGTTGCAATACCGCCCTCAGGCAGCACTTCCACGAAATACGAATGCTGCATCTCCTGAGTGGATCCAAATTAACCATGGATCATGGATCCTATCATCCCGGAATCCCATCATATCATGGATCATATCATGGATCACTGATGATGCAAAGATTCAATTGATTATCATTGTGGACCTGGAGTGCAAGGTCCCCAGTCAAAACCTCGCCTCCTTGGCAATGTAGGCCTTGAGACTCTTCACACCCTCCACGTCGATGTCAAGCACGCAATTCTGGCCAGCTGCACAAATGTCCTGAAAAATTTTTGGGAAACCATCGAAGGTTGCCAAAAGGTTGTTCCTTTTGCGCACATGACTATGTCCCACCATTGGTCCTGGATAGCCGCGAACGAAGTGCCATAGAGGTTTCCATGTACATCCGCATGTTCCAGGAATTTACCTGGCCAGGGATAGACATACATTCTCCATAATTTTCCTATCGTGGCGGAAACAGTCACCTCTTGAACACTACATGGGAGGCACGCCGTCAGCAATCATTTCTTCCATCACTTGTCTGCTGACAAAATGATAGTCCACCCCGTCCTTAGCCAATAGTTTCACACTGCAGTAACCATTCATCCATCAGACAAACACTGAAACGGTTGGAGTTGAGCACTGCCTCTCCTAATCTCCAAAAGCAATGCGCAAACAATTCACAGAAAGATAATTGGCACAGCACACGCCCCCATAAACTTCGGCGAGTGCTACAATCGATTTTTTGAAGACCATAGAGGAACCACAAAATCATTTGCCATCCCAGAATCGACTTCAGAGTCCCGGGGCGGCCGTGTAGTGTGTGACACCACCAGGCCAAAACATTGTCCCAACTCATCGTGGCCTCTTGTGAGCATGACCCTCTCCCGCACCAACACAAACGACACTACCTGTCAGACACTGTCTAGTTTGCAACCGGACATTGGCGAAAAAAATGTTACCGACAAACGTGACACAGGCACGCAAACCCTTGAACGTGTGCCGAACACTTTGCAAGAGTTTCTCAACCAAGGAACTCAGCAAACGCTTCACCAATGTGCTTTTGCCAACCCCGGAAGGTCCACAAAGAACAAGTAGCGAACCTGCGAAGAAAGTGAAAGTTCTTTCGGCTTTCTAATACATCAGCAAGTTTGACATATGATTCACCTAGAATCTGATTGTAGGCACTGATGCATTAGTATTCGCCTAGTTTGGTTCCCTGCAAAAGGCCAGAAGAATCAGGCCAGAAGAATCAACGGGAGCAAACAACAAATCCAAACTGTAAAGCGCTGTAGCTGCTACAAATTGTTAAGTGTGCAAAGAGGTGCCTGCAGCAGTTTGTATGGGCGCTTGGCTGTTCTGCCGGCTGCACTTGACGACCTGCAGTCCCGTTTCGCATTTGATAGAGATACGATTGACCAAACAGAGTTTGGTGAGGCTCCGGGCACGGGGTCGGCGTGACAACGACACTGCCACCACCGTTGATAAGGCTACTGCCTGGAGGTGGGGCCTTCGCCTCGAGTTGAAAATCCAAAGTGTTTCATTAAAATTGGCTGATCACAGTCACGAGGCGATGGCTTGGGCGCTGTTGCATAGGCAACTCTGGGCGACGTTCTGCGCAAAACGCCTCTTCACTGAGCGGAGGGAAAAACTAAAACAAATTCGCTGCGACTCAAATTGGCACAGTGACTTGCCTGCATGTGGTTTGGTGGTGCGGAAATTACACCACAGGCGTGAAGGAGCGCTGCCATCAATGGCGTCCATGACCAAAGACAAAGCAATGCTCAATGCTCGTGAGTGATAGGTGGCCGGATGTTTTCACTTCAGCACGCTCTTTGTGACCAAAAAATGTTTTTGGAACCCATATTAAGCTGCATGTTTTTCGCCATTCACCAAACAGACCATGAAAGAAAACATTCCTGCGCGCTCTCTCTCTCTCCCTCTCTGTGTTGCATGCGGTTATCACTGTCATCCCTACATTGTGGTGCGACATGCAAAATTTCCCTACTTTTTTGCACCTGAATTCGACATGTGGTCGCGGATTTTTTTTAAATTAGATCTTGGCGAAAATGCAGCGGCAAAGCATGCGGTGTGACCAATGGCCACACCATTGGTCTGAACACAGGTCTCGAAATCACTCATCCCAGCATGCTGCGGCTATGAAAAGTGCGGTCAAAGGCATATTTTTTTGCAGAATACTTTCGGGAAACACTGGTATAAAATTACGACATG